TCACGGTTATTCCAGCACAACTTCTACCCGGTTACACAACGAAATCTTAGACGAATTCTTCAACAACCCGTCCAAGGAAGCAACAGGCATACATGCATGCCCCAGTAACCCGGGTAAAATGCCGACGTTGGGAGCAGTTCAAGCAGTCGAATCGCGATTCTTCAAACGAGTCCTCTGCCCTACTGCTTCGTGAAAACGCCGACGGGATCATGCACAACCCGTCGACCAAATAAATATGCAGATACAGTCCGAGAAGAGGAATACCGCTTGGGGGCAACCCACAAGTGGTATTAAAACAACTCAAGCGTATTCCTAACTCGGAGTAGCAATATGGTTGATGCTCAACCAGCAAGGCAACACGAGGGAAATGGCGCTGCACATAACGAAGGTCAAGAACCCGAAAGCAACACGTATGCCGACATTAGGAGGCAACCCGACAGCTCGAGATTGTACCCGGCCAGAACAATGGGGTGCGCAAAATTTCTCACTGGGTTAATGCTCAACCCATCGACATAAGGAAAAAATTCCCTCATAAGCGGAGCATGCAAGTCTACAAAAACGTAAACACATTCAGGGGTAAAAACCTGGAGAGATGCACTCATAAGTTCATCCCGACTACCCAGACACCCAGGTATCCGGGCTGAAGGGCAACTATTATGGACCCGTATAGTGGGCCCATTAAGTAGCAAGCCCAACAAGGGGCAATCCAAGATATGGATTGATACCACTAAAGGATAGATATCCAATAAGGATACTAATCCTAATACGACAGCATAGCTATCAGGCCTGGACCCTCATCAGAGGAACCAAAGGCCCATCCACACTACTCTCAAGTAACCTCTATAAATACAAAGGTAAACCTAAAGGTACGTACGCTCTCTCTCTTACTGTTATGCTGTCACTGTGCGCACACACACCCAATTGGCTAACGCCGCTATAGTATTCTGTGCAATGTGATCTGCTTGACTCAAGGGTATCTCCTTCATAGATACCTTGGAGAGGGCACTAGATCCAATATCAACGTACTAGCCTATTAGGTTAGACATCTCTGTTTCAAAGACAGAACATTGGCGCCGTCTGTGGGAAATTCTTCTTTGAATTTGAAGTTCCCACTAAATCGGAGAAGGAATGGCAATTCAGACGAGGAGCAGTAGCCAGCAGCCACCCCCGAACTGGAATCAACCATTGGATCCAGTCCTGGAAGAGGTAAACCAGCCTCCGAACCAGATTGGAAATAACGTGGATTACGACCACATCCAGGTCGAAGACGATGTCTCAGATACCGCTTCCACTCCAGCGCGTCGAGATAGGGGGCTGGGGCGAACGTAGCTCCAACAAGAACCAACCCTTCCCAGCATCCTGGAGATCTGGCTGCGCGTATCGCTCAATCGGCTAATTCGAATACTCGGTTGGCCAACAACGCGTTCGCTGTAATCATGGAACGAATAACAGAGATGGAGAACCGTAATAACTTGCAACAGCAGCAGGATTTCAGGGCTATACGGGAGGAGAATAACAGAGGAATGCGAGATCTGGAGCAGCGTTTAACACGCTTGACTGGACCAGTAGCAACTGAAGCTGACATCCAACTTGTTAATGGCCGTGAAGGAGCTCGGAACGTGGTTCTCCCAAACCGAGTTCCCAATACAGAAGATCATAACAGGCCCAATCTTGTGAACGCTGCAGACCCGAATAAGGGAAACCAGGTTGTTAATGGCCAAAATGCTCAAAACCATCAGGCGCAAGTTGATGGTCAGGAGGACCGAGTTAGAATCCTTCCTGCACAGAACGCTCAAGATATCTGAGGTCGGGTAGAACCCAGCGGGTATAGGAGGAAGTACAACAGGGGGCAGTACAACAATAGCCCCTTTTACTGGTGAAATACTAAACGTCGTCTTCCCGGAGGATTTTGACTCGGCACGTCTGCCAAAGTACGATGGGAGCCAGGATCCGCAGGTCCATATAGATGCTTTCGACACGGATATGTACATATGAGGAATTGATGAACCTCTCATATACCGGATATTTGCCATAACACTGACTGGAGCAGCGCAGGCATGGTTTTCAACCCTTCCTGCTAATTCCATCGGGTCATTTGAAGAATTCGGACAGAAGTTCCTTTTGAACTTTGCAACTAGCAAAAAGCATCCGAAGTCCGAGTTCACTCTCGGAAAGATACGACAGCAACCCAGAGAAACCCTCCAGAAATATCTTAATCGGTTCAAGGATGCTGCATTGCAGGTCCCAGGGCTGCAAGAGAATTTCCATGTTCACCTTATTGTGGCGGGTTTGGATGGTGCATCCAAACTAGCCAAGTCGGTCTATAAAGACCCAGTAAGGACGTTGGAAGAATTCAAAACTCGTTCGAAGACATATCTCGAACTAGAGCAAATGGAGATTGCAAATGCGCAATCCGATGAGGGAAAAATGTTAAACCCAAGAAGAAGGAGCCCACCTCAAAAGGGGAAAGAACGAGTTGACAATAAGAAGAAAGATCAACGCCCCCGAATCCCGGACATGAGGGATCGGGTTGGGAGATATAACAAGTATACACCTTTGAGTGCGTCGCGCTCGCAAATCTGGAGGGAAATGGAACTCACGGAGATGAAGAAGGTGGAACGACCCCGGCCCATATTCGACAGACGGTGCCAATGTTACGATCTGATAGATCGATATGTCCAATCAGAGATTGGTATGTTAATATAGGATCTGTTTGCCCTCCCTCAGGTACTATAGGAGAGGTACCCTAAAGATAAGCGGATCACTGTGCACAATAATATAACGACATAGTCAGATTGTGGGGTGTGTGCACAGTAACAAGCTAAGAGAGAGGGTTTAGAATGTATGTACCTTATTGGTTCAACCCCTTATTTATAGATGGGTTACCTGGCAGGAGTGGACTTTTGGGCCTCTCAGGAGCATTGGGGGTCCAATTGTTGATCCATTGCTGCCGTAGTAGGATTAGCATAACTAAGGAATGTTTCCTTAATTCTCTCTTAGTTGTTAGCCCAATTTGAGCCTTCTAGAATAGAGGCCTTTGACAGGTCCATAACACATAGTGACAAAGTTAACCAATTATGGGTCTATAAACTCATAATATAGTTCTGTCTGAACAACCGTCACTGTCTCAAAATTCTCAGAATATCCGGATATTTGTCGGGGGCATATCCAAATACCATATCCAGATATCCATATCTGGATATCTATATCCGGATATTTCTAACCCCATATTCGGATATTTCCAATCCCATATCCGAATATTTCGCGACAAAATGTAATTTCTGCATTTTGCGAGATATCACTCCCAAGGTTCAACTTTTAACCCATTTCAACGTCTAAGCATGCATTTTTATACACATTTAGGTTCATGTTCATGTTGGTTACCTATACAACTCATATTACATGCCAAGACTCTTCTTTTAACAAGGAAAATCATGATCAAAAGTTCAAGAACATACCTCAAGCTCCAAAACAGAGATAAATGATGCTCTTGGAGCTCTCAAGTCAGCTCCAAGGTGCTCTCAAGTCAGCTCCAAGGTGCTCTCAAGTCAGCTCCAAGGTGCTGACTCTAAGGGTACATGAAAACGAGCTTTAAGACGGTCCCTTTCTTCACAAAGATTGCTTCCTGGTGCACCAATTACCAAGAAAATGGCTTCAACATCTCAAGCCAAGGAACTCAGCCCACCAACTCCAACAAACAGAGGTTGAACACTCAGAAAAAGGCTACCTCTCACCTTACAAGATTGCTCTCACCAAGTTGTGATGATTAGAAGAATAAACTAGGGCCAAAAGGTGGCTACTTTAGGGTTTCTATGGAGAAGAAAGATATGAAATGGTGAAGGAGAGGTTCAGCAGCCAAGGGGTCAGAATTCTCACGAATGAGGCACAAGGAATAAACCTAGGATCATGTGCCAAGTCCTTACATAGCCTCATTAAATTTTAATCGCATTGTATTAGCACTAATAGCTACATTTAGCGTTTTAATCACAAACTTTGGATTCTGAACCTAGCAATTTTTCTAAGATTTGTCATATATTTTTTTTTCGCAGCACTTTGCCGGTACGCGCTTTTACTTAGCCAGCATCAATTATGGCACCAATTCTCATTATTTTGACTTCAAAATTGCTATACTAGTTCTAGATATTATTCTAGTAATATGTACACACTTTTCATAATTTTCCGGGATACTTCATCGGTACGCATTTATATCGTGAGGCAGAATCGATATCTGTATTTTTCGTCAGAAAAATGACTTTCAACATAATTAATCACTTACTATAATTATTAGGGTCAATTATAAAATTATCTTATTAATCTCTTAATTAATTAATTTAATTTCTTAATTTAACGGTGCGAGTTCTTAGATTAATAATTGATTACCATAATATCTTGACACTTAATAAATTAAATAGTTATTATAATCGGTTATTTGGTCCAGTGACTCTAGTTAACAGTTAAACAGGGGCAAGGGGCATGTTAATACATAAATTTTGAATAGAGGTAAAATTGTAATTTTAAATTTAATTTGGAACAAAATGGTCAATCCTCTCAAATAATAATGATGAAGCATTCTTATAAAAAAAAAACGATGAAGCTGGACACACGTAATCAATCCATCGGCTGCATAGAAGACGAGGGCAAGATAGAGAGAACAAGAAGAAAGCGCCGCGGAAACACGGAGACGCTCTCGCCCAGAGTTTGGAAGTTTATTGATATTCCTATTCCCTCTACAGACCCACCCACCGGATCCCACCCTTGACCACATCGTAAATAATCATATAAGTTATTAGAATAAAAATAAAATAAAATAATATTTGAATTAATTATAATTACGACAATAGAAAGAAAAAAATATATTAAATTATTGAGAGTATTTAATTCCGTAGTAGTTAAGTATTTTGGCTGGAGCTGGAAATCAAACTCAACTTCAGTTACTTCCTTATACGCCTGTGCTTCCTCTCTCTCTCTCTCTGTGTGTGTGTGTGTGAAGCCATCAAATCATGAGTTGCAACGGTTGCCGAGTCCTGCGCAAAGGGTGCAGTGAGGGGTGCACCCTGAGGTCGTGCTTGCAGTGGATCGATTCCCCTGAAGCACAAGGCCATGCAACTCTCTTCGTCGCTAAATTCTTCGGCCGTAGCGACCTAATCTCTTTCATTTCCTCAGTCCCCCCAAACAACAGACCTGGTATAATCAGATTCTAATTCTTATCTGGTTTATTCAATTAATTTTTTTATTTATTTCTTTTATCTTTGGTTCTCGATGTATAATTTATTTTGATCTTGTTATGAAATCTCAGCGCTGTTTCAGTCTCTGCTGTTCGAAGCGTGCGGCAGAACAATTAATCCCGTCAACGGTGCAGTCGGATTAATGTGGAGCGGTAACTGGCACGTGTGCCAGGCCGCCGTGGACACGGTGCTCTCCGGAGGCGTTCTTCGTCCGTTACCGGAGGTTATGACGCCGACCATTGATGAGTCATCAGACAGCATATACTCTCAATTCCGGCCGTTGGAGATGATTCAAGAGTCTTACTACAACAGCACAACCTTGGAGGCGCTGAATAAGGGCAGTGATGCAACGCCACAAGCTACGTCATTGGTTACTGGAGAATCGGAGATGACGAGCTATGACATTTACAGCGAGAATGAGAAAAAGCTTTTGAATCTGTTCGTGTAAAACTACATGTTTTATATATTATATATATATATATTAGTATTAGTATATAACATAAGAAGGATAGATCCACAGGGATTGAGTCCGTGAAGGTGAAATAATTCAGAGAGATAATCAGAAAGGCAAATAGCCATCGAAATTGTAGGTCCGGAAGGTGTTCCGGCGAGATTTTGCCGCAATTTTAATTATTGTTAAAAGGCCTTTATTTATTTTCTCAAAGCTCTTTTTTTCTGCAATTCCGCTTCTGATTTTCGACTCTGGAATTGAAATAAAATTTGAAACACGGTTAGAGAAAAAGAGGTAATGAATGAGGCGTGTTTGTCGGGTTGCGTGATCCTCTGTTGCTATATGATGACGTGCAAGTGCAAGGGCATAGTCCGGACCGTACAATAACATGACGAGGTTTGTGCAATAGGTGCGACCTTTACCCATTAAATTTTTCATATATTAGGCTCATCAAATAAAAGAAACACTTGCGCAGGTGCCTCCCATGTGGGGAGTGATTCTGTTTCCATACACGAGTAAGGGTTATGTGAGTTTTGTCCAGAATCCCAAAACGAAACATTTGATGTCGTGAAAAATTCGATTTAACTTAAATAAAAACTTAATATGTGGATTGGAGTGGTCCAAATGTAAGCTGGTGCTCGCGGTGGGACACTTAACCCACTTTAGGACTCTGGTAGCTGATGCAAGAAAAGGGGCACAAAAACACAAGTAATGGGTGCATTACTTTAACGTTACGCCGCATAGGCGTCTGAAGATTTGAGGAATCGACACGAAAGAAGGTCTGAAATGATGGTGCTGAACTGCTGGCTATTTTAGCCGTAGGATTCTGCAGAGCAAATCCACATGATAAAAATAAAGATGGTGCGGTGCACGTCAGCCTCTCCCGTAGGCATGGATCTCCTCCATTAGAAGTGGGTTCCACGGCAAAAGCCACCATTGACATAATCATACTTTGATGATATACGGAAAAAACATTTCTACAAAATTTTATCTGCATTTCATTATGTATAACCGTTAATATATATTGTAAAAATAATAATTTTTTAATTAGTGGATTCCATTTTTTTGAAAAAAGATATCTTTGTGGTAGATATTTTTCTCTGTCATAACTGCAGGTCCGATGAACCTTGATATATATATATATATATAGAAAAACATCTCTTAAGCAGCTTGAGATAAGTTTATCTCCGACTATCACAAAACTATGTCGTTTTATTTATTTATTTTTTTATATTAATTGATTCACCTTTGAATGATTTTGATTTTCTTTTTCTCTCTCTTCCTTTATCACCATTGATCCATCTTTGTACGGTTATGATTTACTAACCGGAGATAAGATTGTCTCAAATAACTTGAGAAACGATAAGCCTCTATATATATATATATATATATATATCCCAAACTTAATGCTCAATATCTTTTTGTTAAAGTGTTACTGGAAAAATAATTATTCTTAAATTGACTTTTATTTTTTATATATAAATGTAGGGAAGTCTATTTTTTAACATGTTTTTTAATTTAATTAAAAAAAATACCACGTAAAAAGTTTAAGGAGTTAATTTGTAAGAAATTATTTTAATGCTCAAAAATTAAAAATTATAACAAAAGGTACATATATTTAATAAAAAAACGAAGAGCCATCACAGCCCGGAACAAATATTCTCATGCCTTGTTTTAATATAATTATTTTACGTAGAATATCCAACTCATTTATTTATAAAACAATGGTTATAATAAAAAATTTATAAAAAAAATTTATCACCACAATTACTAATATTAAAATCTGAATAAATGACTTAAATTTTCTATGTCATGTTATTTTTTTAAAATAATACATAAGATTATCCAATTAGTATAACTCAGTTGACAAATATAAATTGAGTAGGTGGGAAAAAAAAATCTGAATTTGATTCTCACTAATTTTTTTTTTTTTTAAAGAGGCGAAGATCTTTAACTGTAACCAATAATTAAGATCAATATAAAAACAATTCATAAGAGAAAATTATCATTTCAACCTCTGTTAATATATAAATAAATAACTGAAAATTTTCTAATAGTTTAGCACTCCAATCCCTAGTGCCTGTGCTCCTACTTCCTCTATTTCATTCGCTTCGTCGCATCTCACAACTTGTCCTGTCAATGTGGATTACATGCTATCCATAATTTACTTATCAAATCCGCAATTGCGAAAGCGTGTCAAGAATTGGGTGGTTTTAAGGATCAGTTTATTTATACTTTGTTTGCTTTCCATACGGAGACAAATAACAAATTTGATATGGGCTAGAATCTTTTAGTGGGAAAAAAAGGAGCTCATCACATTTAAAAATTAAGATATATTCTAAGTCTCAATGAAAATTTAAGTAAAAATTGCTGGCACAACAAGTTGATAGGGTTTAATATTTTTCAGAAATAAAATTTTCATACATATATATATAAATATGTGGAGCCTATGTGAGAAGATAAAATAAAAAGATAAAATATAAGTTTCATATTATATGTATATAGAAAATAAATTTATCTTATATCTTATTGTGAAATAATGGTTTGGCTATGATTATCTGAAAAGATTAGAAATCCTGCTATTTTTTTTATTGTGAAGTTGGCGATAGCATGATAACGAACAAGGGAGAGAAGTTTGAGTTGAGAGGAGATTTAATTTTCATTTTCTAAAAAAAGAAAAAAGGGTAAAGGATGAAACTATGTAACCATTTTCATTAATTATGTTTATATGTTTAAAATTTTAAATTTGAGGAGTGATACAACTGGTAAATACATAGATTATGCCCAAGGATTAAATTCTTGGGGCTGAAAAGTCTTTAATTCGATATATAGATAAAATAACTTAGGATCAGTGGCAAAAATAAAAAATAAAAAATTCTCAAAAAAGGAAATATTCACAAAATGGGTAAGAGAGTTTTGAAAGATTACATAATAATTACTTATTTTTTACCCTAATGTTGAAAAATTCCTAAACAAGGAAACATTTTAATTCAAATATACTATTTCTCTCCCTTTTTACTCTTTCCTCTTCTATCCGAAGTCCAAATATACTAGAAAAATTGGGGGGGGGGGGGGGGGGGAGAAGTTAAATTACATCCGGGTAAGTAATTTTGTTTAAACATTTGACAACAATGGAATTTAGTAATTTACTTCCTAACTCAGATTTATGATCTAGGGCTTACCAAAACAAGGTTAGGTAGGGATGTAAATAGGTAAACCGGTCTAATAGGAGCATACGACTCGACTTACATCAAGCCAGACTCAGTTTATTACATATAGCTAAAATGGAATAGGTTTAGACATAAAAAAAAAAAGTCTATTTAGAAATCAGACCATATGCTTTCTTTTACATGTCATGCCTATAAGTTTACGGATCGGCCCATACCATATAATTTATTTTAAATAAAAGAAATAAATTATTATTTTAAAGATTTTGAATAATAAAGTAATATTATTTAATTTTAGTTTAATTATTGAATACCTAATAGGCTGAAACAGGCTAATAGGAATATGCTAAGACTTTTGATTTTTAAATATAGATCAGACTAGATTTATAATTTGAATTTATACAAAGCTAATAGACCAGATCAAACTTAAAGTATTTTACATATGTATGACCTCTTTAAGGAAAAACCTAACACAGCCCAACCCAATCAATTTACACCTTTATTTCTAAGTAACGTGATTTTTTAATAATTACATAATAAACTATTCATATATAAAATTATTAATAGAAAAAAGTTTTAATGAGATTAAATACCGATATTTTATCAACTTCAATCTCTTTGAAAATTTCTAGGGCATAATAAGGTATGTATATATTATCGTATTTCTTACCCAATCGGCCAATAGTATTTGGCTGCTATATAAGTAACCTGCAAGTGGAAAGGAGCATTATTATATTTATATTTTGGTAAATGAAAAGAACTTTATTTGTAATGTGAGAGGTTTGAATCCCAAAATTGTCACTTCAGAAAATTTCTCACCTAACTACCACCCTCACCTGAAAATTTGATATTATAAAAATCGGACCGATTTGATCGGGTTGACTCAGAAATCAGTGAATCAGTCATGTAATCGGTCCAGTTTTCATATTAAATTTGCTCGTTTGGATGGAGTTATAAAAAAAGAACTTTTAATGCGTGCTTGTTTTAGAAGTATTTTCTTTTTATAAAAATTAGAGTTATTTAGATTTTTTAAATAATGTTTGACTTTTGACTTCTTCTTTTTTGGAAGTTAAAATTTTTAGCTTCCAACCAAGGTAGGTTTTTAACTTTTTTTGTGACTTATGTTTTTTTTTAAAAAAACAGACATCCAAACATATTGTAATAAGAAGTGTTTTTTTTCCTGGAAAAAAAAAGTCTATCAAAACAGCCCTTTAATCACCTAACACATTTCTACTTAATTCCACTTATCGCATCTATTAATTTATAACTAAATATTTAATTTCACATTAAAGTATACATAAGTCAAGATAATTATAAAATAATACCGTTACCTCACTTTACTAAAAGCAAGTCTGTCGTGCATTACACAGGAGTCTTAAATTTAGGTAAAATTAATACAAAATTTAAAGAAAAAGAAAAAAATATTTCAAATAAAAAATATTCACACTTGATTCAAATAAATAAGAAGATAAATATAATTAGCTAAAATTTGAGGGAAAATTAAATTTTAATGTAAAAATTTTACACGACTAAATGAACTCGGCTTCAACCAAGTCTTTTTTTGAACAACATGCTTCAACCAAGTCTTTTTTTGGCCTAATGTAAATTAGGCCCAAATCATGCTATGTCCAATGGCAAACTCCAGGCCTAAGCAAAATACCGATTAATATATTTTCTGTTACAGTTGATTTTTGCTGGAGGGGGTTGTTATTGGGCCGAATACTTCATTGTAATCGACCAAAAGGTTTTAATACTTTTTTTATTTTATTTATGCAACGACCAATAAGTTCGGATCTAATGCCAAACAACAGTATGTTCAAACAATGGGAT